TTTCTTTTGCCGTTGTGGTTCGCTCCTGGGAACTTCCGCAGCACGTGTTCGGAATTTTCGCAGGTGATCCGGCGGAGCTTTTTTCCCAGACGTTCTGCAGAGGTTTGTGTCAATTTATCTGAGTCTGCCGCAGTGCCGATACTGGAGGCTGCCTCCAGAATATAAAATTAGAAGTTTGCTTGGCATTTTTGATCTCTCGATATTTTAAAACAGTTTGTGCGCGACGTGGATGTTAGTTATGATAGTGGAGTGTTTTCATAGAAAAGAGTTTTTTAGATGTTGCAACGCCCATACTATCCTTCCCCTATATATTGTTGAACCTACAGAAGTATCCAGTCGTTCTTCTTTGACAGAGACATCGGCTGAGCTTGTGGGACTATGTGGGCTAAAATGATGAGCCATTCATCATAGAGATTAGAAGGACATCTAAGAAAAAACCGACCTGTCAGATTTCTTTTCTCTCTTATCTTTGGCTCGCCTATTCTGGAACCACGTCTTCACTTGCGCTTCAGAAAGCCCCAGCGATTCGGCTAACTGGGCTCGCTTATCGCGGATCATGTAGTGCTCGGAGAGATATTCCTGAAATAACCAGCCACTTAATTGATTCTGGGAGTGCGCGGCACGTTTTTCCGCGTTGCTCCTTTCATCTATTTCGCAAAAGGGGAAGGGGGTAGAGCAAGCATCGCCCGAGGCGTTAATCTGCCGATCTATTGCACGCATTCACGGAATAAACATTTCCTCGATAGTGATTATTGCACTGAGCGTCATTGCAAAAGCAATTAGCGCCACGGCCATCCGAGCGCTGAGGCTCGAGAATGACAAGCACTGCCCGCGCGTTGCCCGATGCAGACTCGGCAGACTACTGTGAAACTGGATCGGCATTTCTTAATCAGATAGAAAACGCTAGCCTTAATTAGAGCGAAACGTGGCCGGCGGACGTCATTTTGTTGCAAAAAAAGCTCGGGTAAAGAAAGCAGCTTCCCGTTTTTCTCATCTTCTAATTAACCATCTGCGACTAAATTTGCGATAGCTGCAATCAAGGAAAGTGAGTAGTCAGTGAAAGTAACAGAAAAACAGTGCTAAATGCGAAGGTAATGGAGCTAGATAAAAGATTTCCTATATGCTAATAAGAGCAGTATGCAAAGAATATTCAATAAATTCTCCAAGTTCCAAAAATAATTAAAAAATATAAGGATATCTGCATAATAACTACAACATATTAGAATATCTGCGGAAGACGATATAATTCGTCAAAGGTTTAAGTTCTAAGTTTAAAGTTAGTCGAGACGCACATCCAAAATGATCTTTATATGTGCTGAATTTTATGCCTTGTTAGCAACTCACACAGGTAACAAAACTAGGAAATAATTCGAGCAGATATTATTTGATCGTAATGGGTAGCTAGGCAAAGTGAATACATCGCACGGAACAAGAAAGATTAGTGTTTCCTCTTATTGACCTCATCAAACTCGTCTGAAAGCTTAGTATTGAACACTTTCGCCCACTGACTTAGCGTTTTTGTACAAAGTGGATAAAGAAAAGAAAGAAACTAGAGCGATTTACTTGGCAGTCCCTGGTGCTCACAAAGCCAGTAATAAACGTGCATGGTTGGTTTAGTGAATGAGGAATTTTCAATTTTTTGCCCCTGTAGGATGGTTCAATAAAAAAAAACAGATTGTCTTGTACTCACTTTATCACGTTGGCTAAAAAGCGCTCCGTACACAATTTTCTTGTTGTTGTTACTTTCCCCATTGGATCTGTGATCCAATGGGGGATGTGGTAAGGCTTCCACTGCCGTACATCAACCCCATTCAGAATTTTTTACCATCATATAAAAGGTTTATGCCTCAATATGCCAAATTTCCAAGAGCTCAGTTCTTTAAATTTTCAAGCTTCTTTCACGCTTTGATTTAGGTCGAGGAGTAACTATATGGATACAGCTAAGATTTCTCTAATCAGTGAATAACGATAAAAGTCGTAATCTGCTATTCTGAAATTGTTTGATTTAAAAAAACGGATTTTCTCACATTGCGCATTTTTTGCGCAGAATATGAAAATGGGATTTTCTTACTTCTTCGCGCCATTATCTCATAGGGACATAACTTTGACTCAGACATGATTGCTTTATTC